TTTCTTGATCGTGTTGTTAAGGATTGATCACCCTTTTGCTTCACTTTTTAGGAAAACATCCAAATTTTAAATTTTAGCCTACCTTCACCCTTTTTGCCTTATGTTACAACCTTGGGGAAAGACCTTTCGACCTAGAAAGTTGAGTCACTATTCGGGGGAGGGAATCATGGGTCATTGCCTAAGGAAAGGAGATGCAAAGTCAAGATGTCGAGTAGCCCAAAAATTTGATCTTTTTCCGGTACCTTCGCGGAATCTAGGAGATGTGCGCTCACTATGGGGAGATATGAGATTAGTAGGGGGAACGCGGTAAGACCGTTTGGGATGAAAGTGGAGTGTGATAACTAGTTCCTATGCTTAGCATTTTTATGTTTCAATCAACCTTAGGTTCTTATAGCGTGCACAACCTTACTTGTTTAGAAAGATTTGCATTCATTGTGCTTGTACATTTGCAAAAGTCCTTTCATGAACATTTGTTTGCTTTTCTTGTATTTTGTTTTCTTTTTCATGCTTTGCCTTGTTTGTATTATTATGAGAGTTATGGGTAAATTCTTAGGATCGGATACCCTTTAGTTGCTAAAATTGACCGTGATTCCTACGAAAGTGAGTTAGTGTATATTCCCATCTTCTCTAGTTTTCTCGTTTCTTTCTTTGCTTGAATAATGTCATCATTTTTCCCTTGGGTTGGATTTTGTTTTGCTCGAGGACGAGCAAAAGTTTAGCTTGGGGGAATTTGATCCGTGCCATTTATGGCACCTTTAGGCTATGTTTTCTTTATATTTCTATACTCCTTTGTAGTCATTTATGTCGTGTTTTTAGAGAATAATGCTCGATTCGCGTGATTTTGTGTTAGTTTAGAGAAATGCATGCTTTTAATGGCTTTCTTATCATTTTATTCATTTCTCGGCTATTTCTCTTGCTTCTCCGTTTCTTTGTCTTGTTTTGTAGGTACGTCGCGGGCTATATGTATGGGAATTGAAAATAGCACCCACTAGGATCAATATGCTCTTTTCGGAATTGAATTTGAGTTTGAAACAAAGGAAAACGAAGGATTGCAAAGTATCAAATAGGACCTTTGTACATTGTTTTAGTCATATCTCTAGTTTTACAGATCGGATTAGGGTGATTCAAGTTGGGTTAGAAACTAGACTTGAAGAGCTTTCCAATGATAGGTCGCACGCCTACATACAATTCTTAAATCGAAAGTTACAGCCTTCTGAATTTGGCCCTGTAAAACTGCCGCGGGCGCGGGCTAAGTACCCGCGGGCGCGGGGTTGCTGCAGCTCCAAAACTGCCGTATTTGGGCAGTAAGCACCCGCGGTTGTCCCGAGGGCTCCCCGAGGGCGCGGGGATTTGCCCCGCGGGCGCGGTCTTGGGAAGCTGGCGCAGCTATCGGGGTGTCCGTTCCACTCCGCTGGCGCGGGTTTCTGGGTCTTTTACGATTTTCAGCTTCTTTTCTCCTTTTTTTTATATAGTTTTTGGTTTCCTTTCTTATTCATTCATGTAATTCTTTAGTTTTAGAATAGTTTTCTCTCTCTTAGGTTGAGAGCTTCTCTCTCTAGATTAGGTTAGATTAGGAGTAGTTTTAGAGAGAGAAAGTGAGGAATTTCAATAGTGATTGAGAGATTGAAGATGCAAGTGTGACAATTGTGTTGGAGATCTTCTTAATTATCAATGAGAATTTCTAAACTCTATCTTATTCAATTGCTTTGTTTAATTTGATGTTTGTTTGGATTAATTTTGATGTTTGATGCTTGATTAGTGTAATTGTTCTTGGTATTTTGTTGATTCTTGATTTCCATAGTTGTTAGTTGATAGATGATGATTCTTGAATAGTTGTTTGGCTAGAAATTGGGTGAAACTTGTATGATTGATTATTTGTGATTAATTTGGGAATTGTGTTGATTGATTGTTGAGATTAAAGTGATTAGTGAAGGTTTGCATGTGTGTAATTCAATTTGGCCTTGAGAATTATGCTAGATTGCATTGTAATTGCTAATGACATGAACAATTGATTTAGGAATTGCAATTATCAATTGGTTTTGATTGTGATTCTCTTAGTTTGTTATTCATAGTGAACCCTAGATTAACAATTAGGAGATAGCCCTTTGATTCATATTGATTGCTCTTATCATTTAGTCCTCACAACCTTTGATTGGCATGCTCTTACCAAGTTGTTCCAATTGACATGATTACTTGTTGATCCCCGTTCCTAGTGTTTTATTTCCTTGGTTACTTGTTTTGTTAGTTGTTAGTATTCTCTCTTACCTTTGTTTTCGACCTAGCTTAGGTGCATAATTGAAAGTGCTTGAACATTACCGTTCCTTTGGGTTCGACCCTTGACTTGCTTCTATACTCGTTTTTAGGTTTGTTAAGTGTTTATAAATTTAGTTTGACCGAGGGAAGATTTGATAACGACCTAGTTTTCCCCTCCTCAGAAAGTGATTTGAACTAGATTAGGATCACCTTTATTTTAATGATTGCATTAGAATGAGTTATTAAAGTGGAGTTTTTATGGATTGTGCTTATTTATTTTCTTGATTTGATTGTAACTAATAGGATGCTTGAGAATGATCCTTATTAGTGTAGACCTCTTTCATGGATTTGCCTAGACTATTGCATGAGAATGAATTGTTTAGGTAGAACCTTGTGTTCTTTGGCATATGTTTCATGATAATCACCATTATTCTCCTCTTTTTAATCATATTGAACACCACGTATCCCTAGCGTCATTTTCTAATGATTTTAATCATTATTTTCTTGCTTACTTGTAGTTTTAGTGTTCTACTCAACAAAACCAACAAAAACAATCCCCTTTTCACTCTTGCATTAGTGATATTTGATGTTGAATTAGCGTGCTTCCCTAGTGGTTCAACCCTTTACTTGCCACTAACTAGTTTGGTGTAGGTTTAGGTATTATAAATGATAAATTTGGTTAGGGTGGTAGCTTAACGACCTATCTATCCGCGATCAACCATTGCTTAGTTTTCACCTCAAGAGCATATAAAACATCATCCCATAGGGCATCCTCTATCGGAAATCCATCTTCTTTAAACCTTGCACCAACCAAACTTAAAAGGTGATCTGCCACAACATTTTTTGCCCCCTTCTTGTCTCTCATTTCGTAGCCAAAATCTTGAAGGACTAAAACCTATATCAACAATCTTGGCTTAGCTTCCTTCTTGCATATAAAATATTTGAGAGCCGAGTGGTTGGTGTACACTATAGTCATAGAACCAATGAGATAGTTTCTAAACTTCTCAAATGAGTGGATAACAGCAAAGAATTCATTCTCGCTAGTTGTATAATTCTGTTGAGCATCATTGAGAGTTTTGGAAAATTAGGAATCACATGAAGTTTTCCTCCCTTTTTTTGCCCAAGATTTGATCCAATAGCCTCATCTCTTGCATCATACATGAGTTCAAATTGTAAAGACCAACCCGGTCCTTGGACAATTGGGGCGGTGCGAAGTGCCTCTTTCAACCTACAAAATGACTCTTGGCAAGTATCATTGCAAGAGGGATGTGAGAGGTTTAGCAACTAATGAAAAATCTTTAATGAAACGCCGATAAAACCAGGCATGGCCAAAAAAAGATCTCACATCCCTCACATTGGTGGGGGAGCAAGTTTCTCAATGACCTCTAACTTGGCTTTATGCATCTCAATGCCGGCATGGGAGGTCTTTTGCCCAAGAACAATTCCACTTTCTACCATAAAATGGCATTTTTTCCAATTCAACACGAGGTTAGATCTCTCACATCTTTCTAGGCAACGAGATAAATTGGATAGACATTATTCATAGGTGGCTCTTCTAACGGAGAAGTCATCCATGAAGACTTCTTTTTCGTCTTCAATCATGACACTAAAGATTGACATCATACGACGTTAAAATGTTGCGGGAGCGTTACAAAGTCCAAAAGGCATTCTACGATACGCATAAGTACCGTAGGGACATGCGAAAGCCGTCTACTCTTTATTCTTGGGGTGAATCGGAATTTGAAAAAATCCCGAGTAATCGTCAAGGAAACAATAGAAATAATACTTTGTAATCCTCTCCAACATTTGATCAATGAATGGTAATGAAAAATGATCTTTGCATGTACTTGTGTTGAGTTGGTGATATTCAATACACATATGCCAACCGATAATAAGCCTAGTAGGAACAATTTGATCATTATCATTTTTCACTATCGTTATGCCACCCTTCTTAGGCACAACTTGTATAGGAGATTCCCAATCACTATGAGCAATTGGGTAGATAATTCCCGCATTAAGAAGCTTATCCACTTCCTTCCGCACAACCTCTTACATTGAAGGGTTATGCTTCCTTTTCCTTTGTCTAACGGGTCTAGCATCTCCCTCTAGATGGATTTTGAGCATGCATAAGGATAGACTTATACCTTTGATGTCATCAATGGTATATCCCAAAGCCTTCTTGTATTTTCTCGAAGCATTGATCAAGAGGGAGGTTTGCTCCTCCATTAGATTACAATTGATGATAATCATGGGGAAAGACTCAATAAAGTCAAGATATGCATACCTCAAGCCCAAAGGTAGAGTTTTCAAGTCTACCTTTGGTGCCCTCTTACCATTGAATCTCTCTTCTCTTTCTTCAACTTGGAAGAGGTCATGAGTGAAAGGGGTCTCTTCCTCCATTCTTTTATCCTTGCACTCCCTTTTGCTTTCCTCAAGAAAAACCTGGTAAAATTGCATGTCCTTCTTGTGAGCACCTATCTCGAATTCATTTAATAATAAACTTTCAAGAGGATCATTAGTAGCATGCAAATGGGAGCGAGAAAATTCATTAAGTACAGTATCAAGAACATCAACTCTAAAACATTCACCACTTGAAGAAGGTTGTTGCATGATACTATTCAAATAAAATTTAATTGAATCTTTATCAATTTTTAGGGTCATCTTACCCTCCTTCACGATGATTGATATAGAAATCGCTAGAAATGGTCTACCCAAAATTATAGGAATCCTCTCATCCTCATCCATCTCTAGCACATAAAAGTCCACAGGAAATGTGAACTTTCCAACCCTAAGGGGAATGTCATCAATTTTACCCATGGGAAACTTGGTAGAACGGAATAGGGCATAAGACTCATGCTTGCTCCTAAATCACACAACGCTTTGTCAAACTCGACACCATTAATGGAACAAAGATTGGAGAAGCTACCCGGATCATTCAACTTAGTAGGAAGCTTGTTGGAAAGGATAGAACTACAATTTACAGTTAAGTTCACCATTTCACACTCCCTTCTCCTACTCAAGAGGTCTTTCAAGAACTTGTAATAGTGGGGCATTTGTTTCATAGCATCACAAAAGGAAGAGAAACATGCAAATTCTTTATCGCAGCCAAAAACTTCCTTAGGTTGGCGATTTAGGGGCAAAGGGGTAACTTCCTTATCCTTTGGCACCTCAACGTCCTTTTCTTTGTCAACACTTAATGGCTCATTGGATCTCTCACCCTCATTCTCTAGCTCCACTTCTTCTTGAGGCTCTTCCTTCACTAAAGGGTCACTCCCTACTACCTTCCCACTCCTAGTTGTCATGTCATACAAAGGTTTTTGGTTGACTCCTTGACTTGAATGGTGGAAGAAGAAGAAGAAGGTGATGAATTAGAAGCAAGGTGAGCTATATGAGTTTCAAGAATTTTTATATGAGCATTGTTTCGTTTTTTATCCTCTTCATATCTCCTTTGTTCCTGTTCATGCCTCCTTTGATCCTTTTCGCACAATTTCAATAAGGCATCTAGTTTAGCCATCACGGGATTTTTGGAGGAGCTTCTAGTTGAAGAGGTTGTTTCGGTGAGGGATGTTGGGGTTGATGGAAACCCGGAGGCCTATTAGTTTGGCATAGTTAGCGACATATTGACCCCCATTGCCTCCGGTGCCTTGATTAGGAACATTGCTTTGTTGATTGTTTCCCATGTTACTTTTTTCACCAAAATTTTGATTTTGATGGTCATAGTATAGGGAGTTAGTTTTGATTACCATACCCTCTTTAGTTAGAGTAGCCTCTTCCATTGAAATTTGAAGGCCTCCCCCACCATGATATTGGTTATCATAACCACCACCACTTTGGTTCCAATCACGGTTTCCACTTTGATTCCAATTCCCCATTTGATTGGGGTTTGGCCTCATGTTCCCCATATTCCCCATTTGAGGAGAAAAAATCGTAGCATTAAGTTCCTACACTTTATCATCATGTTCTTGGGGAGAGGGTTGAACTTCACAAGAATATACACATTGAGAGGTATCATGATCATAGGTTCCACAATTAGCATAAAACATACATCCATGAGGCATTGAATTGTAAGAAGAAGAAGAAGGAGCGTTCATACCATTGCCTCCCTTTGAGGACTGGATCTCTCTTTCATTAGCTCATCCATTTTCATGGTCATCTTGGAGATTTGGGTGGAGATGTTGTTTATTGTGTTAGCTTGCTCTAAAGCATAAACACCCTTGCTAGATGTAACATCCCTATTTCCTTCATACCAATCTTCATAATGCTTTGTCGCCTCTTCTATGATTTGTTCCACCTGATCTTCTCCTTTGTTCATGATTGGGCCACCGGCTCCGGCATCTAAGATTGTTCTTCCTTAAGATGAGAGACCAGCATAGAAAGTGTGAATGAGTTGATACTTGGGTATTCCATATTGTGGACATTGGCGTTGGAGTTCTTTTTATCTTCCCAAGCCGCACTTAGGGATTCTCCACTCTTTTGGCGAAAGCTTTGAATCAAAGATCGAGTTTCTGCAATTTTTCTATGATTATTGAACCTTTTCAAGAATGACGTGGTAACTTAATCCCATGTTGAGAGAGAGTTTGGGGGCACCGCCTTCTCTTGCCATTCTAAACCTTTCCCAATTAAAGAGAACGGGAACATCTTGAGTCACCCCATTGGCTTTTATTGTGTCGCAATACATCTCGAATTCTTTTAGATGTTCATGAGGGCTCTCATACTTCCCACCCAAAAATTGTTTCTGCTCTCTATCAAGACAATCAAATTAGGCTTGATTTCGAAATTATTGGCATGAGTAGAGGGAGCATGGCTTACACTTTGCGCTCTAAAGTCTTCGGGAGCCCCAAGACGACGCAAAGGCGTATTCTCTCCCAATTGTTAGGGGTTTCAAACTCTCAAAGTCAACGGTAGAAAAAGGATTGATTTCCAAACTATGTGAAGAACTAGGACTACCTACATCTTTACTTGAGGGTGAAGAAGGCAGAGTATCTTCTTCTTTGTTCGCTCACTCTCTTGTAGGGGTATCAAAGTTTCTACTTCTTGCTCTAGCTTCTTTTCTTAGCAATGACAAATACCTCTCGTGCTCGGGATCGATGGGGACCAAAGATCTTGAACGAGTTTGACCTCTGATCATACAAAAAAAACTAAGAAGAAAGTGAACACTAAAAAACAACAAAAGTAATCAAAACTAGCAAATAAAAGGTGAGATATTCTCAATAAAGCAATGAAATAACAATGGAAACTGTCTCCCCGACAACGGTTCTAATTTGACAAAGTAATTAACACATCGTCAAATGCCTATCCCTAAATGTAATACAATTTATAAAACCTAAACCAACCTAAATCAAGTAAAAGGTATGCAAAGGATCGAACCGTAGGGAGAAGTTATACACTGTAATCACAAATAATCAATTAAGCTATCTCAGTTCAAAGAGTGGAATTATCTAAGAGATTAATCTAAGAGAAAATTGAATTTAAGACAATATATAGAAAACACCAAGGGGAATGGGTAGATGTAGGTTTCACTTGAACATGCAACATCATAGAAATGAATCGATAATGAAACTAAACATGCATAAATATTTATATAGATGGTCCAATCTAGCCACCTGTCTGGGTTAATTGGCTTCTCCTTATATAGCCTCTATGTTGTTACATTAGAACCATATATTAGGAGGTTCTTAACAAGGGGAAAACTAGGTCGTTATCTAATCTTCCCTCGGTCAAACTTAATTACTAAGCACTTAACAAACCTAAATAAAAGTATAGAGGCAAGTCAAGGGTCGAACGCAAAGGAACGGAAATATTCAAATGCTTTCGATTTGGGTGCCTAGGTGCCTAAACTAGGCCTAAATATTCAATTGCAACAACTTGGGAAGAGCATATCAATCAAAGGTTGTGAAGACTAATGATAAGAGCTATCTCTTAATTGTTGAGCTAGGGTTCACTACGAATAACAAACTAAGAGAATCACAATCCAAACCAATCAATAATTTTAATTCCTAAATCAATTGGTTATGTCATTAGCAATTACAATGCAATCTAGCATAGTTTTGAAGGCCTAATCGAATTACAGTCATGAAAACCTTCATTAATCACTTTAATCTAATCAATCAATCAACATAATTCCCAAATTCATCACAATAAATCAATCATACAAGTTTCACCCAATTCCTAGCCAAACAACTACTCAAATATCATCATCTATCAACTAACAACTAAGGAAATCAAGAATCAACAATATATCAAGAACAATTACACTATCAAGAATCAAACATAAAATTTAAACCAAACAAACATGAAATTGAGCAAAGTAATAAGGTGAGATAGAGTTAAGAATGCTCCTTGATGATAGAAAAGATCTTCAACACCATTGTCACACTTGTATCTTCAACCTCTCAATCACCATTGAAATCCCTCACTTTCTCTTTCTAAAACTACTCCTAATTAAGAGAGAGAGACTCCTAAACTAACCTATTCCTCCTTAGCGGAGATAGTAACTATTTTAAACACTAAAGAATTTCATGTATGAAGACTAAAGAAAGCCGTACAATATATAAACAAACGAAGAAAATAAATGAGATCGCAAATTAAACCCAGAAAGCAGCGCCCGCGGAGAAATCGACCACGCCCGCGGAGGAGAAAAGCTGGAATAGAGTAGCTCGAGGTAGCGTCCGCAGAGCTAGGGCCCGCGCCCGTGGCCAGATCGCGACAGGTTACTGCTCAAAATTGGCTCATTTGAGGTGCAGCCTCCCGCTCCCGCGCCCGCGACCAGGAGACCCGCGCCCGCGACCAGCCTGCGACTGCTTGCTTTGCTGCTGGGTGGTGCGGCTTTGGTGCATGGCTACTTCGTGGCTGAGCTGTGTTGATGCGCATGGCTACTCGAGCAGCTTCTTGGTGCTTGCGGAGCGCACTTGGTTGCTTGACTTGCATGCTTAGCTTCTCGAACTCGACTCTATTTAATTCCTTGAATGCGCTTGAGCTCCCTCCTTGATGCTTAAATCCAGGACACTCGACACACCTACAAAACAAGTCAAATAAAAGGAGAAGCAAGAGAGATAGTGAAGAAATGAATAATATAATAAGAAAACCATTATAATCACGCATTTCTCTAAACTTACATGTAAACACGGAAATCAAGCATTATTCCCTAAAAATGCGACATAAATGACTAAAAACGATCTTAAAAATATGAAGAAATCCTAGTTTAAAAGTGCCATAAATGGCACGCGTCAAATTCCCCGAAGCTAAACTTTTGCTCGTCCTCGAGCATAACAATATCCAACCCAAGGGAAAAATGATGAAATTATTCAAGCAAAGAAGGAAACAAGAAAACAAGAGAGGATAGGAATATACACTAACTAAGTTTCTTAGGAATCACGGTCAATTTTAGCAACTAAAGACAAGCCATTTAAACCCCTAGATCGCCCTAGTGGACGAGTGATGCTCTCGTAATTGTTTTCTAAGAGATTAAACTATAACTGTAATAATAATACAAACAAGGCAAAACATGAGAAGGAAATCAAAACAAAAGAAAAGCAAACACCTGTTCTTGAAAGGACTTTTCCAAATGTACAAGCACAAATGAATGCAAATCTTTCTAAACAAGTAAGTGAGTGCACATTCTAAGATACTCGAGGTTGATTGAAACATAAATACGCTAGGATCTACTTTTTGCAATCCACTTTCATCCCAACCGGTCTTACCGCGTTATCCCTACTAGTCTCATATCTTCTCCAAAAGTATTATTTCCAAAGCAAGAACAAAACAAAACACATTGCAAATTTTCTATGATAGAAACAAAAATCTTTTTAGGATTTTTCAAAATAAAGAACATGGAAATGCGTATACAAAGGTGCATAGCATATATGAATCAACATCCCATCAAACATGATAGAATACCCTCTCCCAAGCTTAAATGACACAATACACTCAAATAAAAATCATAGAAACCATGGGAGGGGAAAACAAGGAGATCAATCCAACAATCCAACATATATCCAACAAGTAATCATCCACTTGAGAAAGAGCAAGGAAGGATATTATCGGATATTAGGTGGGTGTAAATGCCCGCAAATGACCTAATTAAACCTATCAAAGCTAGTTTCCTCAAGAATTGAACTTTTCCTTCCATATGCTAGCAAAAATAGGAGGTAAATTTCCTTGATTCTTGATCCAAATCGAAGCACCAAAGTATATCAAGTCATGTATCTAGCAAAAGGCACAACAATATTTGCATGAGAGAAAATCTATTCTAAAAGGAAAATAAACTGATAGCAATAAAGCATGGGTTACTTCCCGAGAAAGG